AAAATTAAATGTGAAATTGTTTGACAATTTCACAAAGAATACACCAAAGGCAACCATGGTAATTTTTAAAACTTACATTCATGAGACATTTGTCCTCTACTTAACATTTTGAAAACTACAAAAGTTAAATAATTTTTGTCCATAAATACACACATCAATCGAAACCTGATATCTTCCACAAATACACCTACAACTGCTGTAAATTTCTTCCAGTTTAATCTAAATTAATTAAGTGAATATTATAATTATTAATTTTAATAAGAGATGGTGCCTAATGCCTCATTCTAGTGCCAAATTCATTTCTAATCTATAATCATATATCCAAAATTTAGCCTGATCATTTATGGCAGTTGTAGGTGAATTTTTGTCCATTGTTTACAAAGACAGCATCCATTTAATTAAGATAAAAATACATCAATAGTCCTATTAATATATTATTAGGGAGATAGCAAACTAGGTGATATCAGAGAGCCCCAGTCACTGAAAATATCCATAAGGAGAGAATTCATTGGCAATATGTTCACATGTAGTCATTGGAAACCATCAGCACTGCAGAAAAAAAGACATGGATAATGACCAAAGCAATATCTGTCTAGTTAAATTTCTGAGCAACCAAGGCATAATAGACATGCATAGCTGAAGTTACTACAAAGAATTTTGGGATAATCTCATTTAGAAACAAGTAACACAAACGAAAAATGAAGTCAAGAAAATTGGTCAAGTTTACAATCAAGAAAAATGGAGTTTAGATGATGAAAGATTTCTGATAAACATATTCAACAAGCAGTTTTAAAGTATTCATACTTCCTTGGCCCTTTTGGCACTAAATCCACTTTCAATCCGACCCCATTTATCCTCTATGTTTGGATTTATCTCCAACTACACAAACAGTTGCAACTACAGCTAATAAAAGTTCATCACTAGATTCTAATGCCTCTACCATGTTTACCAACAACTTGGAGATAAACCACATGTTACTCAGTGAAAGCAAGATTTATGGATATAACTGGTTAAATATACATATATCATCATAAATTAATTTTTACATCTCTAAAAATCAAGCTTTCCACAACTAGCAATGTACTGAAGAAATGAGGTTAACTGTGACATCACATTGTCAATAACCAAGTTGCTTAGTTTGTTACCAGCCTTAGGCCAGGAACACACATGCGTAAAATTGTGTGGCAAAAAACTGAATCAGAAATCAGCTTTCAGTTCAGTTTCTGTTTTATGCTAGAGCACATATACGTAAAAATTCTGGCCGAATAAGAAACACCACTGCCACTAACAGTGCTACATTTTATTAATTTTTTTCTCTCATACATCTATCTCTATATACCTTTCATTTTTTCTCCACTTCCTCTGCTATAATATAGAAAATTTAAATCAATAGACTTGTATTCCAAAATCAAATAAAAAAACTTATGATCTAAATACTAGGCCTATATATTGATTCTACTAGACCTACCTGCTATTTGAAATTTAGCACCTATAGCCATCCATAAATGTTGTTTAAATACACTGTCTTTATACATGACACTGATGTGGTTGAACGAATCCAGTAAACTCCTCTATTTCATTTATTTTTCAAGATTGTTACAATTATAGGGTTTATCCTCATTGCCGCCATTGTTAGAATAAAAACCACATGTGTACTTTGACATCACAAAAAAAAACACTTCCCTTTATTGGAGGAATTTTGGCATAAAAAATAGAGACATGCTCTACTCTTTTATCAGTTATGTTTTTGCCAAAATTTCAGAAAAATTTTTATGCTTTCTGTTTTATGCTAGATTTTATGCATGTGTGTTCCTGGACTAAGAGACCGGACATTTTGTCTATGTACAGAGATTCACTAAATCCAGTTTTCACTGTATACATATTTCAAATTAAAAAGTTTTTTGATTCATCATAGATGCAAGAACATAAGTTTAATCTTTGAAAATCCAGCACACAGACCTCATGGCTGAAACAGAATAAATATTCTACTAATTGTATTTTTTTCTCATACACATTCTGTTGTTCAAACTAAATCTTCCAGGGATTGCCAAACACATGTGTAGGGGAAGGGTGTACAACATTAGACGAAAAGAGAGGGGAGGGGAATGGGACAGTTTAGATTTTAGTTTACAATATATAGGAGCAATATCTCACCAATTACATACCATCTCAAAGAACATCAAATGCCTATAAAAAAAGATTTAACCAATACAGTTGGCTATCTACATATCTGATCCAGGCATCCAGGTAAATTTCCACAATACACAGCTCTTACATAATGAATCTAAACAATGTGTCCTTAAAACATATGGAACAAGTGGAAATTTACAAAGCCACCCACCATAACTCAGCTATAAACTATCATGATATTAATGCAGTGTTTATTAATTTATATTTTTAACCAGTTGTAAAGTAGCAGTTGTTAACTTACTTTAGTGTCATTTCAAATGAGTTCATCACAATAGCAAACAGTCTATGTTTATCCTTAAAAAAGAACATCCTATTCCATAACAACCTTTTCAAAAATTTGAATTAAATTCTTACATAACTCAACATCTCAACACTGTAAACATTCTAAAAAATTTTTTATGAATAATACAGTATAATTTAATACAGTAGTACCTCAGGATACAAAATTAATCTGTTCGTAAACTGAGATTGTATCATGAAAATGTCGTAAGGTGAATCATTTTTCCCCATATGATTACATGTAAAAACAAATAATCTGTTCCAACATGAAAAAACTCTCAAATTAAAGCTATGTAGTACATTTTAAAAAATAACTTTAATAAGGAAAACATTGAAAAATGCATTTTGTAGTTGTAAATGTATAAATAACCATAATAGAATAATAATTGATAAAAAAATGTAGTTTTATTTGTACTTTACCTTTGAGGATAGACGACAGTGGAGATGTAAACTAGTGGCAGAGGAGAGGGAGAAGGGAAATGATACTAAAACTAACTTACATAACATAATGTAACAATAACTTAACACTAATTTTTTTATCTTTTCTGTTTTATATGTTTTTTAAATTTTTTATTTGCTTTCTTTCCTTAACTTCCTTCAGCACTTTCACTGGATAGAGGTCGCTTGGTAAAATATCTATCCAAAGAGGCTTGGCTTTGCCTACTTTTTAAAATGTTTCTAAAATGACTTAGGCAAATGTCATTAAACTGAGCCAATGTGAACCTTTTTGGAATGTTTCTTTTCAATAAAATTAGTCACTTTCTGATAATACCTCAAGATTTCCTTTATCGAGCGAGATCCTTCCACGACGAATCAAATACATGGACTGAGACTGATGAACAGAAGGAACATGTGATCATGGTGGTGGCATTGCAAACTAATGTAATGTCGTATGGTGAGTTTTTGTTCATACCGTGGAGCAAAAATATGCTCAAATTTCATGTCGTATCCTGAAAAGTTCGTATGCTGAAGCGTTCGTATCCTGAGGTACTACTGTATTACTTTAAATATTAAACAAATAACTAGATTCCTTTATCAGATTACAGTAAAAAATTACCAAGTAATTTGCCAGATGGTAGGCAGTTGGTTTGCCATCTCTTGATAATTAAATTTAATAATTATAAATATAAAAATTTATTTATTTAAGAAGAAACATGATTAATAATGACTCAGAATCATTATCCACACTGTGGAAGTGATTGTTAAAAAAAGAAAATTAGAAGGCACTGAATGACAATTTTGAAAAAAGTTTGTCTGCTTCATTTTTCTGAAACAACAAAGACATTTCATTTTTGGAACTTTTATTAGAACAAATTTAAATAAGATATAGAAGTTATAGAATTATTTATTGAAATAGGAATACAATACAATACAATACAATAAGGAAAGGGAAAGAAGGCCGTACTCGTAGCTGTAGCCTTTAAAAGGGGATGAAAGGAAAATACGAAGGGAGAGAATGAGAGAAAGATTTGTAGCAGAGGCCAAGAGGGTGAAAATGTTGAAGAGTGGAAAGGGAAGGGAAAATTGTGTGCCGCATGGGGAATTTATTAAAATAGAACAAGTTACAAAATATAAAATGCTGAATACAAAATACATAGATACATATTAATAACTGATGCTAAACATAAGATAGGCGGCAGGTAATGGAATACACCAAAAAGTATTTTGATTACATAATTGTTAATTAAAATACAGAAAAATACATACAGAGGTAGACTTAGACATATACAAGAGAATATGTACAATATGATATACGTTGTGGATACATTGAAACCAAAACACGATATAACTACTCAGTAAAGAAGGAATATTAGTAGATGGATATAAACAGAATACAAATACAGCGCAAAACAGAAGTTAACAACATTGCAGATAACATGGGTTGAAATAGGAATAGCCTAAAAGTACTTGGGAGACGTCATTAGTCATTTTGAAGTTAAGAAGCACTCTGACCAAACAAAGATAAAATGGTAATTTATTTCTTTATAATTATTAAATTTAAGGAGGTGTTCTAACAACTTACCTCCTGACAAATTACAGAAAAAACTAGATTATCCAAAAAGGTTTAAAAAACTAGAATGTATAGCATTGTATGTCTGATAGTATAATTAATTAAGTATACCAGTATTTCTTAACGGGGCTGTGGCCCCCTGGGGATCCATAAGAAGTTTGCCGGGGGGCTGCCAAATTATGCAAAATTTCCTTCAGAATATAATAAAAAGAAAATTGATGTATAACCAAATATCATATTGAAAAGTGAAATAAGAAAAATAAAGTTTTCGTATTTAGTTTATTTATTTCTTATTTCTTCCTACATACAACTTTGTTAGTAAAGAAATAAATGTAATGTGGTTTAGATGTAAGAAATATTTTTTGTTCTTTCTATAAAATTTTAAATGGTTCTTATTTTATTTTTTGTTAAAAATTAATGAGTTTTTGTTTAATTGTGAAGTTTGAATGTTATTTAAATAGATAATGAAATAATAAATTTATGTTTTACATTTANAATTATTAATAGAAAGAACTCCCACCTGACCATCTACTAGAGCAGTAAGTGGTAAATAATCAAAAAGATCAGTGAAATACTTCCACACATTTGCATTTCCATATTTTCTTAAACATTCATCATAAAATCCATAAACTTGAGTTATTTGCCTGCTTTCATGATTTCCTCTAAGTATTGTTATTCTTTCTCTATATCTAACCTAAAAAAACCATATAATTAAAAATTAAATTATATTTTAACCAAAATACTATAGAATTTTAAATTTTATCAATGTATACCATCACTATAATATATATCAGTGGTTCCCAAACTACTAAGCTCTATAGTGTCTATAGAGCTTAGTAGTCAAAAATGATTTAATCAGTATATTTAAGGAAAATTAATACATATTACTAGATACCATCTGAACATTTCATGGGCCTTCTGGGACTAGAATATAGACTTGCAGATCCCCAATTTGGGATAACTTTGACAATATGCATCAGTATATCATATATCAATAAGATACTTTTGGTCAAATATTGATAAATATTAGCTAGTTTTACATTACTGATATATGTAATAACTGATATTGATAATGTAAACTACCCAAATTAATAAGAAATATTTATATTAATTTGCAAGAATTAAAATTAATGTATGTTTTCCTTTTCAAATTATAATAAATAACAAAGAAAAATTGCAAAAGCAAATTCTTAGAAATTCATTTCATTGTAAGTTACAAGTATTGGAAATAAATTTTTCTGAAATGTTATTGTTATTTTGAGAATAAAGTTCCTTAATTCAAGAAAATTTTAAATGTATTTGTATTTTGTGGAAAATTTAATCTGTAAACCTGAAAACCACACATAACCTGAATTTATATTTAAAATGACTTCTTATCACCCCATATAAACAAGAAACAATGATGGAGGTATTCATATCACAGATAAGCATTGGTATTGATTGCATAAGGAGTTAAGCATATAAAGTTGGTATAGCAGTTTCTTCAAAAGAAAAATTAATGGTTATGTATAAAAAACTCACAAAAGTGTCTAGAAATAACATCACAAAGACACATCATACTGATATTAACTCAATAAGCTTATTTCATTAACAAGTGCTAAAGAATTTTGAAACAAATTTTAAATTAAAAATATTGTTACTGAAAACTACATTATTTAAGTAGTGACTAGATTGTTAAGAGAAGGTTCAAGCAGTTATGACAAAGTCATGAGATGACTTTTTTTTTATTTTTATTAATCAGGTACAAGTGATATGTACTGTACATACCCAGTACCGTTTAGTACAACTGGGTGGCAAACTACATACAGTCGTCATTGTACAAAAGAGATAGTGAACAGTAAACAAATGGTATGGGCAAGAGTGGACTCTGTCATTACAAAGCATGGGACTTAACACATTAAAGGGTTGGGTAGCTTCCCAGAAAACCGACAATGTTCAGTATAATTTTTGCACTATAGTCCCTTTGAAATATGTCTATAAGAGTTTTGAAAGACTTTTATTACATGGCCAATCTATATGTTTGTAGCCTAAAATTTACTGTAAGTCCTTCCTTTCTTTTTCGACTATAGGGTAGTCGAACAGGTAGTGGAAGAGACCACCACCTGTTCAACTGCCCTATAGAGCACTTATCACTATCAGTAATTTTGAACCTGTGTAAGTCTTTGAAAGCAGCCATGGTTCATTATAAATTGTGATCAATATGTGCAGCCATGGTTCATCATATTGTGATCAATTCTGAGCCAATTCATCTTGTAGATACTTTTAATGTCTGATATGTAAGATTAAGTTGTTTCATTATGAAAGTTGTCCCAAAACGTTTGCCATTCTTTTAAAATATGGTTTTTTTTATAGCATTTAATCCTGTCACAGGTGGTAATTTGCTGTATATTATGGTGTTTTCTTGGTTGGTGGCTGCCTTCTTTGCTAATTTGTTGGCTTTCATTGCCAATAAATATTTCCCTGGTGTCCTTTCAGCTAATTAAGGAAGAAGGCACCATTTGAATTTTGTAGCATAGTATTAATATTATTCATAATTGAATAAGTATCATTGTTCTGAATTATATGAATAGCTGCTTAGTTGTCAGAACAGATGTTAATGTTATGATGTGGGTATTTAGCAATACAGTCTTCCACTGCAGTGGCAATTGCCAGCAGTTCTGCTTGTGTAACACTGAATGTATCATCTAATTTAAGAAGTTTACTCTCAATTTCTGTATACTTATGATATATTACATAGCTGGCACTACCTTTATTGTCAATTTTAGACCCATCTGTGTATATGTCTATATGATTGTCTATCAATGGTTCAAAGTAAAAATATTTTCTTTTACCTGGGTTCTGGATAAGTGTGTAAAGAATCTTCTATTCAAAATTGTCTTTTTTAAGTCTCTCATCCCCGATGGTGACATCATTATCGTATTTCAGTTTCCATTTTTATTTTGATTTCAAGACCCATGGGGGCTTTTCTAGCAATTATTCGGAGGCTGTTAGGAGTCATTCTGTAACCTTTGGTGAGAATCAGTAGTGCTTTCCTTTGGACTGATATTAGTTTCTTTTTATTATATATTTTGTAAGTGGCTTCTTTCCAAACTGACCAGGCATAGGTAATTATTGGAATAAATATCATGTTATAAATTGAGTCCATAGCATAAGAGTAAAGCTCCACATTTACTTTTAGCAACCTTAGAGAAAAATTAAAAGATTAATCCTGTTTTCTTACAAATGTTCTCAATATGTGTGGTCCAAAGAAGCTTAAAGTCAAGTGTAATCCCTAAATATTTAATGTTTTTCTCTATTTTTATACTTTCTGACCCCATACGAATTGTCGCTACTCTCTTGTAAAAGTTTTGACCGCCTGGCTTGTTCCAGACAATTCCTGTCATTTTTCCTGGAATGAAGATCAGCTTGTTTTTCCTCCCCATTTGATTATTTTTGACATAGCCTGCTTTCCTTGCCTTTTGAGTTCTGCTCTAGAGTTACCTGTCTACAACACGAGTGCATCATCCGTGTACACAATAATTTTGTCTTACCCAAAATCCTGGGTCAAAAAATCATTGAAAAGGACAAACCATAGAAGCAATCTGCAGGCCAAGCACTGTGGACAGCCTCTATTATACTCATTCTCAAAAGTAATATTTCCTGTTTTTATGGCAATAGTTCTCTCATGAAGATATTCTTTCATCAGTAGATATTTGTGGGGCATTGTAGTTGCCTGAATCTATAAAGAATCAGTGGCCATCATGCACTGTCAAATGACTTCTGAATGTCTATACTAAGTCCCAAAACATATTTATTTCTGTCAAGTAGGCCTTTGATGTTGACTGCCATTGTGATAGCATGAACAGTTGACCTTTGCATTCTAAAACCATATTAACTGTCACTCAGTAGGTTATTTGACTCAAGGTGCCAAGAGAGCTGTTTGTAAGCTGTTTTTCCATTACTTTCCCTAGCACAGGTAACAGGGAAATCGGTCTGTAATCTCCAGGTTTATTTACTTTAGGGACTAGTACCAACTTGTCTTGCTTTCATTCCCTGGGAAAGATGCTGAAATTTAGGCAAATATTGAAAAGATAAAGAAGAAGTGTTGGGTTGATATTCCAAATTTGTTTGATGATCTCTGGGGGTAAGATGACTATTAACAATATCACAATAGAACTGAAGCAATGTTGGAAAGAAAGAGGCAATCCATGCAATGGATGTACGTGGACCAACAATCCTTGCTCTTTCTGCATTGTGCCTGCCATCACAGATGAGATGATCCTCACACTTGCTGGCCATAGACAATCCTTGCACTTATCAAACACAGAGAGATGATCATGTTTCGTGCCCATTTTACATTAGGCACATGCAATACTTTTTCTTATTTTTTGCCTCCTATATTCATTAGGCATGCTCAATTGCATCAGGAATAATGGACCACTGTATCTTGAAAATGAAGTCATGGACTCCCCATTTTTATTATATTTTTGGATTCCTCATTGCGATTAATGGAAAATGACAAAGTTTTATCAAAATCAACTGATCAAGTTTTGAGAACAAATGCAATTCTATAAGCCACAAAGAAGCAGCTTTTTTAATGCTCTGCCTCAATAAAATAAATGATCTGATTATAATTATTAAATCAATTAAAACTTTCAGTAAAGTTATTACTTATTTCATATTGAAATGCTTTAATCAAATTATTAACATTTATCAATATTGAGAAATTACAATTTTTTTAAAAATAAAAATAAAAATTACAAATATTGATGTATCAGAATATTGCTATCTGTGAAAAAATTTAAGTCTACTTTGGGAAACACTGATCTATATTAAAAACAAATTCATACCTGATAAGTATTTTTATGGTAAATTAAAATTTGATTATGATTTTTATATAAACTAAATATCTTTATGCCTGTTCTATAATATCTAAAATTACATGTGAAAGATAAAGATAGATAGCAACAGATATTACACAATTTCAGTATTCAATGTTTTCACCATCTGACTAACTTTCACACTATTCTCCTAAAGTTTTGTAAATTTAAGTTTATAAGCTTATTTGCCTTTACTATTCAATATTTTAAAAACTATTCACTTTATTTTTGTTAATATTCTTACCTTTAATGCAACAAGTAAAGAGACAGTTTCCACAGAATAATAACCTCTATCAACATAATCTCCCATAAAAAGATAATTTGTATCAGGTGATCTACCACCAATTCTAAATAATTCCATTAAATCGTGGAATTGGCCATGAACATCTCCACATACAGTAACAGGACATTTCACCTCTTGAACATTTGATTCTTTAGCTAAAATTTCTTTGGCCTGAAAAATAATAATAAATTATATATTTCATTTCATAAAATTTTAATATTATAAAATGTTAATTTTAAAATTAAACATAAAAAATAATCATAAAAAGACACTTCACACCAACAATCACATAAAATAATTAACATAATAGTGTAATGGTGTTACAATCACGATTTATTAGCATAATTATACAGGGTGTCTATAAAGTCTGTATGCACTTTTAAATATTAATAGTTTCGGAACTATACACAATAAAATTAATCTGTAAAAAATAATTTACAAGCCAGACTTGTCTAGTTTTTTTTTCTGTTATTTCAAAAATTGATTACTATTCTTCTTACCCATTATTTTTTCCTGAAACTTCAAAATGGTTGTTTTCTTTTCAGAACTGTTATTGACCCATGACTTCTCTAGAAGAGAAAGTAAACTGTATTCTTTGGTTGGCTAAACTGAAATCCGTCACTTCTGTCCAAAGAAGTATCCATCGATCAATAACAGTTCTAATAAGAAAACAGTCATTTTGAAGTTTAAAATAGCTAAATANTATATATATATATGTTATTTGTCGCGATTGAATTTGTCGGTAAAAATATTAATTTTGTCACGGAATTCGTATCAACATTCCTACCTGCGCGTGGGGATTCTTTGTTCTTACGGGTTAGCCCACTACCAAAAGGAGTGTCGGAATCGAACGATCCTGTAGAACCTAAAGTAACCAACCAGTGAAATTAAAGTTTTTTTCTCATTTTTTAATTGTTTTTTCTTTTTCCTTTAACAACTCACCATTCGGTGACCACAAGTGGACCTTCTTCGGAGTCCTCAGAGCATCCTCCCGAACGTACAGAGCGAGAGAATCCCAAGATTCATTGGGACAAAGCCAAGCTAGCAAGACTCAGACAGGCTTTTATGAAGTACGAAAAGGAGCTGGAAATGAAAGCCAATTCCCAGCGCGCAACGTCCAGAGGTCCGCCTGCAAATAAAGAGAAGTCCAAGAAAGGCTGGAACTTCTCTTTCTGTTGTTTCGGTAGAGGCGAGAAATCCAAAGCCGATGTTTATTCAAACAACTTTCAACAATATTGCAACCAGGGATACGATAGCCAATATCTGGGTAAGTACACATTTTGGCAGATTGCGCGTTTTCTTCATTCGATTCTTTCTTTGACGAAATATTTAATCTTGGATTTAATTTTGCAGACATTGCAGAGTAATTCGAGAAGGAAATTGGCGTAGTTTTTGAGAGACGAAAGAGAGATCTTCTGGCGCTGTACCTTCTTAAAGCAGGCGCCGGTCAAGTGGAAAGATTTTTATCGATTTGTGACAGACTCCCGGATCGGACATTTAACCCGGACTTGGCAGTAACACCCGGATTTGACAAATAACCCGAATGTGACAGTTTGCTCCGGATATATGACGACGTTAAAATCCTGGATGTGACGGAAGGATGATACGTAAATGGATATTCAAATATAATATAGCAATCACTTCTGATGTTTGTTGTTTAAAGATAAATTCTGTCTCTTCATTATACATCATCCAATGAACTGATTTTGACAACTTTAAATAGATTGTAAAGCCATAAATTTCGAAACTCGTATTTAACTGTATTTATAGATGAATATACAATACTAGCTGTTACCCGCAACTTCGTCCGCGGAAATTTTGCTAGCAAACCCCATTTACATTCAATATTTCAATAACCATAGTAATTGTTATATAACACCTACCGCTGAAGAGAATTACCGAGAATCAAACAAACTATCTTCAATTTGATCAATTTTCTGGAATGTTTAAAATCGTTCTATAATCGAACCAATGTGCAATAACAAATTTGAATTTAAAACGGATCGAACATTTTTAAAATCGAAATAGATAAAAATATTTATAACAGTGTCTGAAATGTTATCAATTTAATACACCTAAGTACTCAATGAAGACTAAACGCAGTTGAAAACAAAAAAATCGCATCTAAAATAGTACAGTAGAAGCTGTTTTTCCGGTTAAGCCTTAATGCTCTACCTCTCCTCCCCGCGGGGAGGAGAGGATTAATCGCTTTATACGCTGGGAGATATTTTAATAAGTTTTGTAAATTACTATGTTCGATCCAGCCAGTTATATCCGAGTTTTTTTCGTCTGTTAAGCACATCCTTTGAGGATTTCCTTACCGTGTATACCAGCCTTTAGCGTGCGTTTCCATGACGTACCCTAACTGTCTACCAAATTTTACCTCTTTAGGTTAAGCGGTTTGCTCTGGGCGATGATGAATCAGTCAGTGAGTCATTCAGTCAGTCAGGACAAGCAATTTTATATATTTAGATAATAAAAATGAAATTCTGTATTATCTGCATTCTGTGTAATTTTTAATCCAAATTTAAAGTGTCTGGAAGGAAAATATTCACCACTGTAAAACATGCAATTTTGAAGAATTTTGTTTTTATTTTTCATATTCCGACATAAAAATTTCATTTAATATCAATCAAATGAACGGATAGACCAAATTCATGTCAATTTGTTGGGAGTAGATTTTAAGTAGCGTTTATTTGGCGATTTAAAATTTTCTACACTCCAGAATGATTTTATTCCTAAATTACTTGTAATTACAATTTTTCTATGTATAAATATTTCAACGTATTATGTTTGAATTTCGTATATTTCATATCGATTGGTTTGTTTGTATACGGCAACGCGACACATGGGCGATCTGTTGAGAGGGATGACTTCCGGGAGAACTTTCTATGGGAGTTTCTATGCCCATAAGTGTTACAAATGGGAAATTCCACATGGGCTGGCCACGTGCAGATTTCTTGACTTTGACGAGTCGTGAACCCGTAACCAACTAATTACTAGTGTTCAGTGGTTTTATCCACTGTTGGACATATTTCTGTGTCAAATTAATGAATTTCTGTGACTACATTTCAATGATAACAGAGTCATTATTCGTGCGTTATTTTTACTCATTTATATAATTTCTGATATCTTCATCTGTATGAATTATTTGTACTTACACAAAAGTTTGACATATGTTGACTAGCATAATTTAATTTAAAAATATAAATATGCTGCGTAGCCTATATGAGTGTTTTCGACTTGATTCATTACTTTTGATAACGCTTCAAATACGTTTTACAAATCTTCGGACTCGATTTTCTCATTTTAAACGTCAATTCGCAATCACTGGCGGATTTAGCACTTGAGAGGCCCCAGGCGCAATTTAATTCTGACGCCCCCTCTAAATATTTTCACTACCCCTACATTCTACAGTGTGCATTCTACGTGCATGTTTTTTACTCTGGTAGGCACTATACCGGTGGTCCAAAAAGAGTGAGACACGGGTAAATAACATTGAAAATTAACCAATATAAAATTACAACTGCCTGGCTGTATTTAAAAGGTTACTGATGTTCAGACTGTATTAATTATGAAAATCGAAACGCATTGGTACAAGAATTATTAAGTTTCAATAGGTAAAAGTGTTAAAAAGAAAAAAATCTAGTAATCCATGGATATAAAAACTAATTTATTTTTAAATTTACTACTGATACAATAAGCTATCTGGACTACTTACTCTTCGCGATATATTGAAATATTCGTGCAAAGATGTTTGGTGACCCACGAATGATATTGTGTCTACGATGATACGATCCTCCAAGTTGAACCGGGATAGCAATAAGAAGTGTTGAACGTATATACTCGCTGGATTAATGCCTTTTTGCCAAAGAAAGGCTTGAATCCAGGTGATGAATAGCTGTTGCCAGCGATAAAAAGCTAGACTGGGTACTGCCCAGATCAGATAGCATAGAGTTTGAGCCTTAGTGAGTGGCTCCATGTCTCCCTTCTCCAAACTTCTGTAGTCTCCCCCTCACGGAGAAACGCCGCCTCCGTATATAATGTACTGGAAACCGTCCGAAGAAGATTTAGTGAGATTCTCAAAGCAGAATTTAAGATGGGCGTGATGCGACTACATTGCACCCTTTAAAAGTGAGGTCCCAAATTTTGCAATTGGACTCAGGACAGTATACAATAAGCACAGTATATCCTTCTTTCTGATGCCATTGAAGTGGGGTGTGAAGTATTTTAAGAATAAGCTCGCTCGAGCGAGTTTGATACGTTATGTCAAAAGACTGTGCGAAGGCCGTTTTGAACTATGACGACGGTGCTATGAAGGCGACGGAAGATGCGGTAAAATTTGGAAGAGCAGAAAAAGCCCCATCAGTGCCGTCGTCTCTGTTGAGCCTGACATCGAAAGAGAGCATCTAACGAGGATTGTTTAATTTTCGGAATCTTTTCCGGATTTAAAAATTATTTTTGTGAGAAAAATAAGAACTGGAATAATTATATTTTTGATTTCTGTGGCATGTCAATTCTATTAAATTTTAAAAAAATTTCCGTAAGGATATACCGAATTCTGATTTTTTTCACGAATTTAATTTAAACACTAATTTTGCAATAGATATCGTTATCACGCGATACATTTTTCTCTATAAATACATGTATACTGTATATACTACAATTTTAAAACACGTCTTTCATACCGAAATTTATTTTCCTAATAATTTATAAAAAAATATTTTAAAATAAGTAATATTAATAATCAATTTTCTTCAACATTTATAACGTCTGATTTTACTCTATTTCCGAGCTGCCAACTTTGACCAAAAGATGTGTTGGTGTTGATGATGGCGGATATCGACGAAGTCGCTCGTAGGAGAGAGATCAGAAGACGAAAAATATTAGATAATTCCGAAGCTAGATGGATAAAAATTATGGGTCACGACAAAGAAGAACAGAAAGGTTAGTTTAGGAATAAAAAAACTCGTGTAATTTGCATAAATGACATTGTTGTAAGTTTATGTCGAAAGTGTTTAATCATCGATTTCTTAAAAATTTCAAGAAATTCTTAAATGGAATATTTTCACTTCATATAAACATATTGACATTTCATACTTCCTAATGTAATGATTTGAGCATTAATCGATTCATATACCAATGTTAATTTGTAATAATGTTACCGGTATATTTCTTAAGCTAATTGGCATTTATTGGAAATATGTCTGCAAGTTAAATGGCTAAAATTGTCTTTTGTAAAATTTATATTTTGTTTCTTACCGATATTAAATGCTTATAAAATTTATTTTCAGTTTGAATATTTTTTTTTATTAAAAAATTTGTAATTTTTTTTATTATGNAAATTTTTTTTTTTTTTAATGTTTTATCATTAGACATGATAATTTGTAATAGCAATTTTCTCAATAAAAATCTACACGAATTGAATTTAAATAATTTGTATGAGTTGAACGAGACGAAGTGGATGAATGCAAAGTTATTTACCTTTTCACAAAGGGTCTTGACTTGATTTTCTGTGAGTTGTTTGCATTCATTCAGTTGCTCGATCCAACTATCTAACTCTTTTAATGCAGATTTATCTTCCATTCTATATACACTTAATATTTATCTGTTTTATATATACATTCGTAATATGATTTACTATCAAAAGGTAATTATCACACAGATCCTAAAAAAAACTTGTTTCTTTCAGTAAGAACCGGTAATTTTCGATTAACCAAAATGGCCGTACACCTATGACGTCATGGGCAATTTTTATCTTCTGATTTTTTTTTTTTTTTTTATTCCCGTAAAATTAATACGAAATTTTAATTAAAAGCTTTCAGTTTCTCGATTAATTCTGAAAATAATATTTATGATTAAGATTATTTTATCGCAGTTTATTTATTTTATACATAATGATTGGTGATTGGTTGTTACGGTCGCTTAGGCGTCGGCGCGAAAGTATATCGTATCGATTTCCGTCGAGAAGGGTCTGGGTTCGATTTTCATTTCCGAGTGATTTCGCCGTTTCTTCCTTGTTAGTAATCCACGATTGTGAAAGGTCAATAGACGGAGACAATGATATTTCACTTGGCAATACACTTGTAAATATACGACGAAAATAATTCTCGGGGAGTTTGGGATTAATATTGGATAGACACAAATTTAATGGAATTTATACTGTATTTTATAATTATTTTGAATAATTTAAGAATAATAAAATGGAGTATTTATATAAGAATTTCATGCTTGCACTTTTCTGTTATTTTGGTTCGAAATTTTACTTTTAGCATGTAATCTGATAAAGAAATAAAATCTTAGTTTAGTCTTTATGGGTGCTAAGAGAAAAAATTTGTTGTCGTTAAAAATTCTTTTTTATCAATTATTTCATCTGAACATAACTGATTAAAAATAAATTTTCTAATAGTTTTTTTTTTTTTAATTTTGAACTCTTACTGCCCTATAAGTACATATTTTAATTTAAAATTTAAAAGGAACCGTGATCCGATGAAAAATTGTTGAGGTTTTTCGGCCCCGCCCTCAAATCCGTTCCCGAAACGCCTCATCACCCAGATGTTTTTATTGCCTTGGCCACCTGGCCATTTAGTTTTAGGATAATATTTTAAGTTGTCAAATACACTCATAAAACATTACTATTCATTTCAGTTTATCAAATTGATCATGTTTTGTAGAAACTTTATCCGTTTGTGTATTCGTATTCGAGTGTATCAGACGTATTTTTCTTGGTATTTTATAATTACAGTATATCTAACTCTACGTTTTTTAACTCCAGAATTAAAAAAATAATAATAATAAACTTTATATTACAGTAATAAAACGCCATTATTCGTTATTCATTGTATAAAATAAGAATAGCAGAAAGTAAAATCATTTTTCATTTTTAGTCGATTGTCATTTAGAGCGAAAAATAATCGCTCGACGCTTGCTTGAGTAGTGGATATACATACGATGCAATACGACTAGCGACTTGAAATCCGGGTAATTTTGAATTCACCTCAAATATCAATTTTATTTTGAGCCTGTCCATACCTTTCCGTTGTATTGCAAACTTCACGAAAATGTCATTCTTCAATCTAACTATGTAATTTAGAAACTTGGCTTTGTTTCTCCTATTTATCGAAATCATCATCTGTTTGCTTGTTAGATTACGGCAACGCAACACTTGGGCGATCTACCTAAGGGGGATGCCTTTTGGAGATCTTTTTAAGGGTAACTGGCCCCTTGTCAGGCTTTTTTTTGTTTTTTGTTTACTCTTTTCGCCCTGTGGGCACTAACATGGCCTCTTAAAGCAGGCCCATTATGGGTTCGACCAGACCCTCAATGGGGCGACCGAGTGGTGAGGGACGGGGCCCAACATATCCGAACGGACCACCCCCCGAAAAATTCCTGGGGATTTTTTGACCCTTCCGGATTTGATCCCGGGTTTCCAGAGAGGTAGGCTGCCACCTTGACCGCGTTACAAACATTGAGAAAACCCAGAAAATACCACGTGACCAGCCCGACCCGGCGAGGGATGAACCCACGACTGTACTCCCAGTGTTCAGGAAACGGAGCCGCTTGGCCATAAGTGGGCGCCGCAGGTAAGGTGACACTCGAAAATGTGTTACTATAAAAGCAAAGCCATATTTTCCAGATTACAGTTGTTCTTGGTCTATTGTTCTCTTATAGCACGGAGGCACTTCGATCTAAACAAATGAGTTAACGTAGGCATATCACAGTTCGGACAGAATTTTCACTGCTAAGTTCGAAAGTCATATTCGAACTAACCGAATTCGTTAACATGTAAATTTCTATATCCTCGGCTAGAACAAAAAAAGAACCAGGATACAGGGAGGGGGATTCCCCAAAAAGTCACCGGAAAAAATATTTGAAGTCAACACTGTATATGTGGCCTTCTAATTCAAATTTGTCTGGGGCCTCATGAATCTATAACGCGCCACTCACTTAAAGTCAGGAATTTGAAAATCACGTGATTTGATGATAAGCGTACGATTCGTGATGGAAAATCGTATGTTTACAAATTCACAGATACCGAAATGTTTCTTTTCATAAATAAGTTATAATGGGAAAAATCTGTTGATATGGCTGGATGGCCGATCGGTTAAGGTTCCCTAGAGCGGTCAGCCTACGGCTCTAGGAGACTCGGGTTTGAATCCTGACGGGCGGATAAAACTCCATGAATTTTTCGGGGAGTGGTCGTCCAGATATGTCGGGTCCGTCCGTCACCACCTGGCGCCCCATTGTGGGCCTGAAAAACCCATAATGGGCTTGGTATAAGAGGCCCTATTAGTGCCCAAAGGGCGGAAAGATTTAAAAAAGAAAAAGATTCGTTGACAGTATTCAGGACAGTATACATTGGAGAACGGCGCTATATGGGAAGAGGCTATACAGAGGTATGATTATCCTTGTCGTACAAATAAATTGAAATTAAAGTTTATATACATTAAAATGTAAAAATACATAATAAATTTCTGATTTTTCTCTCGAAATATTCTTTTGATTTAAAGTTTTTAGAGAAAATTTGTCGGCTTGTGAGTGTTAAAATATTTTAAATCACTGATATAAGTCCTTATGAGGAGTAAAAAACGGAATTTCTAAAATGAATTAAGTTCTATGGACAACAAAGAATCGTTGATGCGCGCCAACAATATCTTTGTTTTTCGATTATTATTTCGAAGCGCTTTCGTTTTGTTGGAGGGTTTTCTTGCGATTTTTAAGAATGAGTAAAAAGAGAAGTTTATGGAGGTGGATTGGAAGGATCTTCGGACAAAGACCTCCAAGCGAAGAAAAGGTTGAGGAGAGAAAGGGAGAGACAAATGATCCTTTTCCGAACGCAGAAGTCAGTGGGCTTTCGCCGGAATCTTCGGAATATCCGAAGGTTCCAGAAGATGGAGGACTTCCGTTAGAGTCTTCGGAGTGTCAGAAAGATCCAGGCGTCAGTGTGTGGTGTACCACCATATTGTTCTGTTGTATAAAACGAAAATATGTAGATATTTTCCTATCTCTTTTCTTCCCTCTTTGTTCCTTGTTCCATGGAACATTCTAGAAACTTCTAACCACGTGGAATGAATTGACCTACTTGGGAAACAAAGGGAAAAGGGGAGCCCTGAGGGTAAGAATGAGGGGGAACGGACCAGTGATGCCAGATTGGGCTACAAGTAGCGGATTGGGCTACTTTTTAAGTGCTCTCGCTACAAAAATTTCAAATTGGGCGACACGCTACTTTTTGGGCTAGTGATAATTATCTTCAGGCTACAAATCTTAAAAATACGCTACTTTTTTTATTTTCATATATAAAATCGCAAAACGCTTATTGTATTATACAAAAATAATAAAGTTTTATTTAATTTCATTACACTTAAGTATATAAATAAAGTTGCAACGTTTAACAAAGATTAAGATACTTTGCTTTCGTTTTCCATCAGTCGTTCGCTCCAGTAGACAATCCACAACTTCACAA